GAGTCTATGAGTCTATGAGTCTATGAGACTCATCTCCAGCTTCTCGTCCACTGTAACCCCTAGGTCCTTTTCTGCAGAATTTTTGTCAATTAACTAATTTGTAATTCAACTAATGTGGGCCATAAGAACAAAAGACTGGCCATACTGGGTCAGAGCAGTGATCCATTTAGCCCACTTCTGACAGTGGCCAATGCCAGGTGCTTCAGAGGGAATGAACAGAACAGGGTAATTATCCAGTGATCTATCCCGTCGCCCATTCCCAGCCTCTGGCAGTCAGAGGTTTAGGGACACCCAAGCATAGGGCTGTATCCCTGCCCATTTTGGTTACTAGCCATTGATGGCCCTATCCTCCAGGAACTCATCTAATTCTTTTTTGAACCCAGTTATACTTTGGGCCTTCACAGCATCCCCTGGCAATGAGTTCCACAGGTTGACTGTGTGTTGTGTGAAGAAATACTTCCTTTTGTTTGTATTAAATCTGCCACCTATTAATTTCATTGGGTGATCCCTAGTTCTTGTGTTCTGAGAAAGAGTAAATAACACTTCCTTATATACTTTCTCCACACCAGTCATGAATTTATAGACCTCTAGCATATCCCCCCTTAGTCGTCTCTTTTCCAAGGGGAAAAGTTCCAGTCTTTTTAATCTCTCCTCATACAGGAGCAGTTCTATACCCCTAATCATTTTTGTTGTCCTTCTCTGAACCTTTTCCAATTCCAATATATCTTTTTTGAGATGGGGTGACCACATCTGCACACAGTATTCAAGATGAGGGCGGCCATGGATTTATATAGAGGCAACATGATATTTTCTGTCTTATTATCTATCCCTTTCCTAATGATTCCCAACATTCTGTTCACTTATTTTGACTGCCGCTGCACATTGAGTGGATGTTTTCAGAGAACTATCCACAATGACTGCAAGATCTCTTTTCTGAGTGGTAACAGCGAATTTAGACCCCATCAATTCATATGTATATTTGGGATTATGTTTTCCAATGTGCATTATTTTGCATTTATCAACATTGAATTTCATCTGCCATTTTGTTGCCAGTTTTGTGAGATCCCTTTGTAGCTCTTCGCAGTCAGATTTGGACTTAACTATTCTGAGTAATTTTGTATCGTCTGCAAATTTTGCCACTTCACTGTTTACCCCTTTTTCAGATCATTTATGAACATGTTGAATAGCACTGGTCCCAGTACAGACCCCTGGGAGACACCACTATTTACCTCTCTCCATTCTGAAACTGACCATTTATTCCTACCCTTTGTTTCCTGTCTTTTAACCAGTTACCAATCCATGAGAGAACCTTCCCTCTTATCCCATGACAGCTTTCTTTGCTTACGAGCCTTTGGTGAAGGACCTTATCAAAGGCTTTCTGAAAATCTAAGTACACTATATCCACTGGATCACCCTTGTCCACATGCTTGTTGACCCCTCCGAGAATTCTAGTCGATTGGTGCCACAATAATTTTGTACAGTGCTAATGTGTCCTGCGTGACTAAGTCACCCGCCTTACAGCACGTCACATCAACCGGGCACTGCACTGGGGCTGAGGAGACCTGGGTTCTTGTCCTGGCTGGGCACCTGGCTTTCTGGGTGACCTTGGCCAAGTCCCTTTCCCTCTCTGTGCCTCAGTTTCCTCACCTGTACCTTGGGGGTAATGATAACGACCTGCTCTGTAAAACACTCGGAGCCCTGAGGAAAGGGCTAGCACAGAGGCAGGTACCTTAGAGTATTATTACTGTCCATCACACTTGAAATCACTTCAGAAACGCTATCAAGTTAAGACCTATTGTCCATACAGCCAGGAGAACTGGTATTTCTTATGCTTCCATCTTCTGAGTCTCTCTCGAGCGTGTCAGCCTTGCCATGACCTGCCCAGCTAATCAGCCTGGGTTCCTGGGTCAGCTCATTTCTCCTTTCCAAATACAGACACTGCCTTAGCTTCCTCCAGCGCTCTGGGCAGTCCCCAGTTCTTCAAGTTTTACTAGAAATCAGCATTAGTGGGTCAGTGAGCACCTCAGCCAATTCGATGATACCCCTGGGGCAGAGTTATACAGGTGAGTAGTTACAGATGGGAGACACTATTCCCTGGTCACTGTAAGATGTGAATACCTCCCCCTGCATCTTTCTGAATGGAACAGAAATAGTTATCGAATACGTCTGCCTCTTCTGCATCACGCCTGCAGCGTTGCCCTCCTTGCCTGGGATCAAACCTAGACCGTTGCTGGGATTTCATTCCTTCCTGCTACACAGACGGCCCAAGACTTTTCACTGATACCGTTAGCTTCTCTTGTCAATTATCTGCCTTCCTAACTGCTGATTTGTCCTCACGGCTGTCAGCTTCCCAGATTTTCCTTGCATTTGATATTAAATCACCTAAATGAATCCATAAATAATTGCTACTGCTTCTTTAAATACTTCCTGACATTCAATTTTGCTCAGAGTTGTTTTACACTTTGGAAGCTTGTCCGTTTCCAAGTGCCCACTCTGTGTATTACTGGTCTGGGCCATGCTGAACTTAGAGCATAATCCTCTGCACCTAGACAAGCCTCAGGTTTTCCTGTGATCAGTTCATCTTTGTCACGGTGAGGTCTCCTGTGTGTGTCTAGACACAAATGCCCCAAGTGGCTGTCAGGTCTCTAGCCTAGAAAGTTAGCACCTAGCATTGTTAGATATTGAAGTGAGCCCCAGAGGGGCTGATTGGAGCAAACACTCAGGGAGGAACAGGCTGAGAACAGCACGTGGGGAGGAGAGGTTCAGGGTGAGCACTGGGACAGGAGTGGGACAAGGGGAGCACCAGGGGATGAGTCAATCCAGACGGGATTGTGCAGCACACAGGGAAGGAAGGGATCAGGGTGGCCTGTGGTGGAGGAGTGAACTGGGGTGAGCAGTTTGGGAAAAGCAAATTTCAGCAAACTCCCAAGCAGGAGTGGATTGTAGAGAGCGTCCGGTGAGAGGGTAAGCACCAGGGCAGGAGCCCCCAACAGTTTGGTTGGAGGATCCAAGCGTGTCCCGCTGGGGAATGGGGGGCAGTAGGATCCGAGCGCCCCCTGATGGGGAATGAGGGAAGGGGGGATTTGCGCACCCCCTGGTGGGGGATGGGAGGCAGTAGGATCCGAGCGCCCCCTGGTGGGGAATGTAGGAAGGGGGATTTGGGCGCCCCCTGGTGTGGAATGTGGGGCAGTAGGATCCGAGCGCCCCCTGGTGGGGAATGTGGGAAGGGGATTTGGGTGCCCCCTGGTGGGGAATGGGGAAGGGGGATTCGTGCGCCCCCTGGGGGGGAATGGGGGGCAGTAGGATCCGAGCGCCCCCTGGTGGGGAATCTGGGAAGGGGGGATTTGTGCGCCCCCTGGTGGGGAATGGGGGGCAGTAGGATCCGAGCGCCCCCTGGTGGGGAATCTGGGAAGGGGGGATTTGTGCGCCCCCTGGTGGGGAATGGGGGGCAGTAGGATCTGAGCGCATCCTGGTGGGGAATGTGGGAAGTGGGATTTGGGCGCCCCCTGGTGGGGAATGGGGAGCAGTAGGATCCGAGCGCCCCCTGGTGGGGAATCTGGGAAGGGGGGATTTGTGCGCCCCCTGGTGGGGAATGGGGGGCAGTAGGATCCGAGCGCCCCCTGGTGGGGAATCTGGGAAGGGGGGATTCGTGCGCCCCCTGGTGGGGAATGGGGGGCAGTAGGATCCGAGCGCCCCCTGGTGGGGAATCTGGGAAGGGGGATTTGGGCGCCCCCTGGTGGGGAATGTGGGGCAGTGATTCACCGCTGGGCAGTCTGGGCCTGGGGGCTGCAGTTCCCAATAGCCAGCTGCTCTGCCACTTGCCTGTCACCAGCTCCAGCACCTGCTGCCCCCGCTCCAGGGCTTGCTCCAGGTCGCCCAGCCTGGAACGAATCTCCTCACAGAGACCCTGCAGGAAAAGGACAGGTGAGACTTAGCAGGCCTGCTCAGCCCAGCCCCACAGTCTGGCCGCTGCACCGCCCCCCATGTGCCCACCCCCAAGTCCTTCCCCTCGTGCGTAGGGACGGCTGGGGGGTTCTGGAGCTGGGGGCTGCTCCATGCTCTAGGGGCCCCTGCCCCTGTACCCGTCCCTCCCTCGGCCATGCTGCAGGGCCGGCTATGAGTCCCAGCCAGGCCAGCCCGGTGCAGCCACCCTCCTGCCCTCACCTGGCTTTGCTGGTGGGCAGCCTGCAGCTGGCTCACGCAGCCATTGGCATGCCAGAGCTGGGCCAGGCACCGCTCGGTGGCGCTCAGCCACTCCTGGAAGGAATCCACAGACTCCTGGAAGCGCTGAGCAGCTGGCAGGATCCGCTCCAAGCAGCCGTGTCTGTGGGGAAAGGAGGCTGGGGAGAGCCAGGCGGGGGCCAGGCCACGTGTCCCCCAGCCATGGGGGAAGGGCTGAAGGCCCCCAGGGTCCCCAAAGGGCAACTACCCCACTGGCGTTTCGCCCAGCGGAGCCCCTGGTTAGAGCATCTCCTTTCCCCCATTTCCCCAGTGACACCCTCTCCTCAAGCACCCCCTGCTCCCCGTACCCCCTCTCGCCTGCCCCTTCCATGCTGCGCCCCTCCTCCCTGTGCTGCCTGCCCCCTGAGCTCCCCACGGCCCCACAGAGAGGCATGAGCTGTGCTCCTCTGGTTCCCAGGCATACCCTGGCCCGGCAGCGCAGCCCCAAAGGGCCACGTCTCTGCAGCAGAGCTGGCCCAAGTCGGCAGCAGCAGGTGGGGGGGCCCAGCCCGGCTCAGCGCTCTCCCCCAGGCAGCCCTGACTTGGTGGACCCAGAAAGTGCCTGTCAGAGCAGCCCAGGGGCTAGCCAGCCCAGGCTCTGAAAGAGGAGATGGTCCCTCCTAGCCAGACAGCGAGGGGCTGGCACCTGTCGAGGGCAGGCAGGACTAGTGCCCTGTTTGTAGCCCTCACTGTTACAGCCGCTGGGCTCTTCCCCAGGTAAGCACCCGGTCCTCTGCTAAATCCTGCTGCGCTCCCGGCCTCATTGACAGTTCTGGCTCCCCTAGTGGCAGGGAGTTCCCCAGGACACATGAGACTGCAGGAGACTCCAAGGGAGGAGACATGAGCAGCTCCATAGACAAAGTGCCCCTTGTTCTAGTGAGGCCTGGGGCAGTGAGTAATGGCCAACACCTACCCCTCTGCCCCATGGGGGCTGGGGCAGGCAAGGGACAGAAAGCTCCTCTGATTGGTCCCTTCATCCTATAGCACGGGAGCTCGAGTCACAGCAGGGGCCCTGGCGCCAAGCCCCCTCACCCCCCAGTTCCAGTTCCAGCCCTGCCCCTGCACGCTCATGGGCAACTCACGTCCTCACTCTGTGCCTCAGTTTCCCTCTGTACCATGGTCAGCGGGCGTTAGGGGACCTTGGGGAGAGTGTGCAGGGTGGTCTGGCTGTGGACCCCCTGCAGCTCCCTCAGCACTGCTGCAGCGGCTCTTGTCCTCACCCAGGGGGACTTTGTGTCCTGATGCAGCCCAGTCAGCCAGAAAGCACAAAGGCCCTTTCACCCCGGAGCCCACCGGCCCTGCCCCCCAGACTGCACCGCAGCACGGGCTGTCCTGGCCATTGGGGGGTGAGGCCATCGGAGTGACGGGGCCGGGCCATGCAGTGGGGCCGAACGCAGGTGACACTGAACAAGGGGAACTTTATGAACCCTCGTGGGCTGCTGTGTCCGTGTGGCTGAGCCACTGCCGGGTGAGCTCCCTGTTCCACCCGTGTCCCCTCCACACCAGTGGCCTCTGATCCTGTGCCACTGATCCTGAGGCAGCGTCCGTCCCCCCGCCCAGGCTGGCAGGTTGTGTGAAGCTGACAGGCCCGCGGGAAGATTGACAGTTCTGGCTCCTCTCTTCCCTGCTCCACTCCACCACCTGTTCGTGTGCCCCCACCCCAAATGTCCATGGACCTCTCCCCACGGAACGCCCTCCCCGACCTGGCCACAAAGCCCTTCCGCCCTGCAAGGCCTGAGGCCTTTGTCTGCAGCCACTTAGGAGAACACCAGCCATCAGCCAAGAAGCAGAAAGTCACATCCCCACATTCCTTCTAAATGACATCAAAACAATGTCCTATCGGGCTGTTCCGAAGGCTCCAGTCCCAGTCGCACCCACCATCACCAGATAAAGATGGTGAAAGGAAACTTTCTTTGACGGCATTCTGCTGGCAAGGAATCACGTATCAGCAGTTGCGGGTGTGAAATCCCTACTTCTTTATTGTTTTGCCTTTACGGGCCCCACTTCTCTAGTGTTTATCTGTCTGGTTTCTGTCGGGTCATTGATTGTTTCTGTCAGTTGCATAATTAATTTTACAAGATTTAAATCAACTAAGGTGGTGGGGTATGACTGGGTAAAGAATTATTTCACAATACGTTAGGATTGGTCAAAGAATTATTTTGTAATATCTTAGTAAAATCATTGGTTAAGGCACAGCTAAGCGGGACTCAAGATTCTATATAAACTGAGGCCCAAGAAGGAGACCAGCTGGGAAGGAAAGAGAAAGGAAAAGGGAAAAGAAGAAGGAGGAAAGACCTGAAAAGAAGAACTCACCCCCCAAGACACAGCCTAAAATCAGAGCTGCTAAGAATCCTCTGCATGACCGTGAGGTGCAGCAGCCAGAATCCAGACAAGACCGACCTTGCCTGGTGTGACGTTAGGAGTGTGATCTAATATCTCATTGGAAGGTGACAGGGCCAGAAAGAGTTAATTACTCCCAGACTGACCTGACCCATGGTCGAACTTTAGAGACTGGTTAGGAAGATCTGTAAATGAATAGAGCTTTGAAATGCAGCCGGCATTGTTAGAGGTAGAAGGGAAGCTGTTTGCTCAGGTCTTGTGATGTAAGCAAACAAGTCTGGTCTATTGCTATAGCTTTGATTCAAAGATCAAAAAAGGAATATTAACATGTAGGAAGATACTTGAGGGAAATAGTATTATTGTCTCTATGTCTCTTTGAAGGTTGTGATAACCTGTATCTGAACTGTTTAATGGATAAATTACCCTGTGCTAATTGCCAGGATGTTTGGGAGAAGGAGAGTTAAGCCTATTGTTTTCACAGGCCGAAAGGCTGCTGGAAATGTATAAGAACCCTGGGACACGATCCTGCTTCATCTCAATCTGCTTTGGGTTTCAAGAGGGGGAAACCTGAAGCCATAAGGATTGAGATCCCCAGTCATTGACTGGAGTCACCCTGAATATGGACATAGAAATAGTCCAGAGGTTATAGCCCAAAAAGAAGTTTTGGCAACAAACTCACCATCTCTGCTCTGTGTCTGAACCTCAAGAATTGAATTCAAGTCTGTCTGTATATTGATCTTTTAACCAACACTCTCTCGCTTTTCTTTTTTAATAAATTTTAGTTTAGTTAATAAGAATTGACTATAGTGTGTATTTTGGGTAAGATCTAAGTTATCATTGGACCTGGGTGTGTGGCTGATCCTTTGGGGTTGGAAGAACCTTTTCTTTTATATGATGAGATCAGATTTTCAGTAATCATCATCATATCTGACAGGTGTGTCCAGGGCCGGCTCTGGCTTTTTGGCCGCCCCAAGCGGAAAAAAAACAAAAACCTGCGGCGTGGCTGGAGCGCGGGTGCAGGGAGACCGGCTGGGGGGGTGGAGGGGGAGGGAGCGGCCCGGAGAGAGAGAGAGAGAGAAGGGGGCGGCCAGGGCTACATCATGAGCGCTGCCACGCGGCCCCTCCCGCTGCGCCGCCTCCTGCTGCCTGCCGCGAGGGCTCCGCTCCGGTCGGCGGGGAGGGAAGGAAGAGGACTGCCCTGCAGGGTGCTCTGGTTCTCCACGCCGCTGCCCCCTTGCTCAGCTGGTGCCTGGAGCCGGCCCTGGGTGTGTCTGGACGGAGGCCTGAGGCTGGGCACTTTAAGGGAACTGCGTTGTTTGGACTTCTGAGTAATCAGTGAGGTACTACAGAAGCTGTTTGGGTAAATCTAAGTATTGGAAGATCCACCAGCGTTTGGGGTTTGTCTGCCCCGTTCTGTTTGCAGTTCACCCTGATTGAGTGACCTCGGCTGGCTCCCACGGGCAGCACCGTCACACCTGGCCAACAGGGAAAGTCTGCCTGCCTGGCGAGCAGAGCATTGTACGCTTAGCGTGTGTGTTCTGCTTGGTGATTGTTAATAACGGGAGGATCAGGATATTGCTGTGTGAGCCTCTTTCACTGGTGAAAAGATCTTGCAAACCTGCAGGGGAGTCTGTCCTGAGCCCTAGGAACTGGGTAAAGGGGTGCCCTGGAGTGCGCGAGTAACACCACCCGCCCTCAGCTCCCAGGTCAAGGTGGTGACAGGAATCCACACGGCAGCACTGGGCAGGGGATTGGCATGTCTGGGGCCAGTGCCTAGCTGCATCCTCTGCCAGTGGTTTGGGACAGCCTGTAGGGACAGGGACCACAGCTCCCAGCACGGGCAGTGCCTTGCACCAGGGCCCCGAGTCTGACCACGCACTGTCCCAGCACAAACAGCGACTGACTGACCCAAAGGGAACTGCTGTGAGGTCCAGAACCTGCACCCCAAACCCAGCACCAGGAGGGGGCACTTCAGGGCAGGAAAGTGGTTAGCGTGGGAGGCCAGAGCCCAGCGTGCCCACCTCACCCATGCTAGCAGCGGCACTGGCCTCCACAGAGCCTCGCTGCACAGATCGCAGCTCTGCTCACTCACCTGGCGTTCGCCTTCTGGATCAGTTTTCCCCACTTCTCCTGCAGGTCTGAGAGGCCCCCGCTCACCTCCTGTCCGTTTGTCCTGGCAGCATGCTCACGAGGTAGCTGTCTGTCCTGCAGGACACACGCCACTCGGGGTCTCCGCTCCTCCAGAAGCCGTTTCAGGAGCTGTTGGGGAATCAGGGCACGGGGTGATGGCGGTGCTGTCCTCATGGCGAACCCAACGGAATCGACTCCACAGCCTAGGCACGTCCTGGCCCTCAACCCCCGGGCAGTGATCCGAGCACCTTGCACAGCACCATGCACCCAGGGGACCAACCCACTACACCCCCCAACAGAGCCAGCCGTAAGCATCAGTCAATTATCCCCAGTCCCAGAGGTGGAGGGGGGCAGACACAGGGCCGGCTCTACCATTTTTGCCGCCCCAAGCAAAAAAAAAACCAAAAAGCCGCCTGGACTGCACCGCCCCACGAATGGCCGGAATGCCGCCCCTTAGCATGAGCCGCCCCGGCACGTGCTTCCTCCGCTGGTGCCTGGAGCCGGCTCTGGGCAGACAGACCTCCTCCAGACTGCAGGCAAGGCAGGGGCAGTGAGCAGGAGGGCATGGCAAGCGCTGCTGCATGGCCTGGGGGTGGTGCCTGCCCCAGCTCCCAGGGCAGAGAGGCTATTCAGCATCCATCAGGCATTAGCCTCCAGCAGGAGCAGCTACCGAGGCTGCCACGGAGCCGGAGAAGGGCTCACTCCTGATGCGCTGCCCAGCACTGGGCTGTGGGCTGTACGCTGTGCCTCCCTTTCATGCCCTGCCTAGTGAGACGTCACCCCTCCGGGGAGCGGGCAGCCCCCTTCGTGCAGGCGTGGCCATGCTCAGCCACACACAGCCGAGATGCCATGTCCTGGCAGCTCCCCCCAGGACCCAGCAAGCACTGCCCACCTCTCCCCCAGAGCTGCTCCTTCCCCGGAAACCCCTGGGAGGGACCTCGGGGGCTCGCTCACCTTCTGCTCCTGCAGCTGGGCTTTCACCACCTTCACTTCAGAAGAAGGGGGCTTCTGGTTGCCAACCAGGTCCTCCATGTCAGCCACCCAGGTCAGCAGCGTCTCCAAAGTGTCCTGGGCCTGCTCCACACTCGGGGAGCCCTCCGGGAGCGTGATGGCCCGCAGGGCACCCTGGGGAGGAGAGGAAGACGTGCCCGTGAGAACCCGGGGGCTGCCGGCAGGTTACCATGGACAGGACACAGCCCAGCGCTACGGTAGCCCCATGGGCAGCACCAATGGCCCCGGTGAACAGCACAGTCCCCATCCTGGGCACCCCGTCACTTTCAGCAGCATCCTACCCCCCGGCCCCACGGTAACCGCAGTGCCAGGCACACGTGGGGCCAGCCCTCCCCTCGCCCCCTGATCAGGGTCATTGCCCACCCTCGGGGCAACTGTTACCTTGCTGCTGAGCACGGCCCACGGCTCCCGCGAGCTGCCCGGTCGGCAGGCAGGGACCCGTTGCTCTGGAGCTGGTGTAGAGTCAGTCACAAAACAGCTGCTTTACAACCCCTGGAGCAGGCCCAGGGACTCCGACCCTCCTCCCAGCCATGCACAGCAGCCGGGCGAGCGAGGCAGAGGCTACTGCCTGTGCTTCATGGGCAACCCCCCTGCAGCTTGTCGCTGGCAAGCAGCAACCACGGCCCAGCCCCTCTGGGCGCAGGGATGAACTCAGCTCCCTGGGCGCTCAGAGGAGGCTCCGCAGCCCAGCTGGAGTCGGGTGCCCCGTCCCTGGGAGCTCTCCCTACAGGCTGCACCCGGGGAACTCTCAGACCATTCAGCCAGGGGCCACCACACCGCCTGGGCAGGCGGTAGGGGGGATTTGCCGGCCCACCCCGGTGAAATGCAGGAGCAAGGAGCCAGTGAGACACGGACAGAAACCAGGTTCCACAAGCCCACTCCCAGCTACAGCGCAGGGGGCTCGGGCTGTGCCTGAGACGGGCCGGAGCCAGGACACCGCGTAGCGCCCTGAGCCCCGGGGGGACGATGTCTCCTGTGAAAGGAACACGACAGTTCACTGTGAACACGGTCCCTGCTCAGCATAGGGTGACCAGACAGCAAGTGTGAAAAATCAGGATGGGGTGGGGGGTAATAGGAGCCTATATAAGACAAAGACCCAAAAATTGGGACTGTCCCTATAAAATCAGGACATCTGGTCACCCTAGCTCAGCACCCAAACCACAGCACGAGCCACAAGAAACAGCCCGGCCAGCCCAGCCCCCGTAACGCACCCACCTGGCACAGGAACTCACCCACCCGCCCGGCCCCCCTAACACACCCGCCCAGCCCGGCCCAGGCCCCGTAATGCACCCACCCAGCACTGGAACCTACCCGCCCGGCCTGGCCCCCCTAACACACCCACCCAGCCCGGGCAGCCCGGCCGCCCCCAAAGCACCCGCCTGGCCTGGCCCAGCACCCCCAATGCACCCGCCCGGCCCCCCTAATTCAACCCATCCAGCAACAGAGCCTGTCTGGCCCGGCCCCCACAATGCACTGGCCTGGCAACAGAGCAGGCCTGGCATGGTCCCGTAATGCACCCTCCCAGCACCACAGCCTGGCCCTCCTAACACACCTGCCCAGCACTGGAGCCCAGCCTGGCCTGGTGCCCCTGAGTCGCACCCGCCTGGCACCACAGCCCAGCCACGAGAGCAGAACCTGCCCCAAGCCAGCCAAGCCTGGCTGTCAGAGACACTCTGAAATGGTCCCGCAGCTGGAGATCACTGGGACACCCTCCCCCCACCCCCCAAAGACTGGTCCTGTGCAGGCAGTGGGGCCATGGGGTGTTACCAGAGCCTGAAGCGCACTCCCCTCACCGCCGGTGGGCTCCCCACCCCGCCCCACAGGATAAAGGCCAGGACTCCGGGCCTGCTAGGGGGACCCCCACAAACAAACAGCTCCTGGGCAGCGAGCCCCCTGCAGAGCCCAGTGTGCGTCATGGGGGCCGATGCGGCATCCCCTCAGACACACCAGCCCCGGCCTGGCTGCTGGGCTCCGCGGGATCCGAGAGGCTGGCACACGTTATTAACCTCCGTCCGCTCCCCGGCACACTCCGTCAGCACCTTCACCGTCCTGGTGACAACGGGCTCCCCGCCCGGGTACTCGGTCACTTCCACGATCTCCGTCACGATGGTCTCGGTCACCTCAGTCACCTCGGTCACCTCCCTGGTGCTGACGGGCTTCCAGGCCCAGCTGCTGCCCGAGTCCCTGGGGGGGGCGCCTCTCGGGGGGGGTCCAGGCCGCCTCCAGCTGGGCTTTGAGGGGGTTGCAGCCCCTGCTCCCATTCGGCACCTTCACCTCCATGTTGTTTTGCTTGGGCAGGGGGCTGCTTGGCTGGCTCTTTGCCGAGCCTGGGCTCAGGCTCCAGCCGTTCTCGATCACCACCGGGTTCAGGGGAGACTTGTCAGGGGCCCCAGCTCTGGCGTCACAGTTGTTCCTCCCCGCCAGGTGGTCGGGGCCAAGCCCCACGTCCTTCAGGAACTCCTCGGGCTTCTGGCTCTTGTCTCCCAGGCAGCTGGGCCTGCCCAGCGCGTTCCCCATGGCCAAAGGGTGGCACAGAGCCGGCCGGCCAGGGGCCGAAAGCTCAGCCCCGCCGCTCAAAGCCAGCCTAAAACAAACGAGGGGCAGCCCCGTTACTGGCCACGCGGGACATGGCAGCAGGCACCTGGGGACCTGCGTCCCGCCTGCATCTGACCTGCGGGCCCCAGGTCCATCCTGGGAGCGTGGGCCGTTCCCACCCCCCTGGAACCCGCCCCAGGACCTGCCTGCTGCCCGGTGTGAGAGGGGCCCGGGCTGAGGCCCATCCTGCCATCCCGGGCACCAGCCCCCGACATGGGGGTTTCAGCCCTTCCAGCAGGTCCCTTCGTTTCCTGACCAGCTGCCCAAATTCCTGCCCTGGGGTCAGTGCAGCTCCCAGAGCCCGGGCACGGATCTGAGCACCGGGCTGCGAAGGGCTGAGCTCCCAGTGAGGGGCCCGGGGCACAACAAGGCTGGGTCTGGGGACGGGAGCGGGGAGCAGGGTGAGGAGACGGGGTTAGGGAGAGGGGACAACAGGGCACAGAGGGATTTCCGGGGCTGGCGACTCCAGGCTCTGCTCCAGACTCTGCTCCAGGCCACCTCTGGGCTGGCAGGGCATTCCCGGGACCTGTGTGGCGATGCCAGTGCTTAGGCCGCTCGTCTCGCTAACGGGAATGTAAATGAAGGGGAATGAGGGAGGCAGCACAGGGCACCAGGCAGACGGGCAGCTGCTTCCAACCGGCATCGCTTTGTACCATTGGATTAACTCCTGGGCAAGCTGGAGCCGGGAGAAAAGAGCCATCTGTCTGCAGCGCCCTGACAAAGGCAGCACCGGGGGGTCTGAAAGGGGCAAGCTGCTACAGACAGTGGGGCTGGCGAACCATCAGTCACTGAAACACCCACACTCCAGACAGGAGTCAGACAGCCGTCCCCATTCTGCGTTCAGCCAGCCACAGCCCATCAATCCCAGCATCACCCGGACACAGCCCCGCCATCCCCGTGCAACCCCCCAGCCTGGCCATCTGCACCGTGCATCCATCACTCAGACACCAGGGCTCAGCGTGTCCCCCAGAGACGGAACGCCTGACCCCCACCCCACCCCACACCACACCACCACCGAGCACCTGCCACCGGTCACCAACCTGCTGCTCAAACACCCCCACCTTCCCCAGCAGTCACCCCATGGGCGGCGTCCTGCACCACAACAGACACCTGCAGGCAGAGTACCTACATCCTGCAACACACACACACACACACACACACACACACACACACGTCCACACCTGACAACACACACACACACGT